AATAAAAAAAATATGAAACCAAGAAAAAAATTCGTCCAACTCAGGACAGCCATGACTATGAAGCAAGACTTGGCACTATGTACAGATGTTTAGAGCATTTTTCATATTTGAGGCACCAGCAATAGTTCTGGCAACCGAAGCGAGATTAGGGTTTTTTCTGAGAATATTTCAATTTTAAGCACTTTTGTAGCTAAATTTAAAATTAATTTCCCAGGGAAAGAGAAAGTACCCTGGGAACGAGGTTGTACCGTTTATACTGGTCCCCAGGATAGTCTCTGCTTTCAAGATGGCGGGCGGGCGGGCGGTTTACAACTTTACCGTTGCACTTATGTCCTCCTATTGTAGATATGTCCTCTGACGTAATGTGATAAAATGGCCAATCATGTCCTGTGATCTATAGAGCGACAAGCGGCTTGGGACTGGTTAAGAGACTCCGTCACAGTTATGTCTTGAAGCAAAAGTGCGCATTCAAGGGGGTCGGGTTAAGTAGAAAATTTGACATGTATGAGCAACTTCCAACTGATCCCAGGAGAACATGCTGTTCACCATCACTGCGAACCGGATCATTGGCCTCTCACATTACTGTCATTACTTTCCTTGAAGTTCTATCGTTCCTTCGTTAGCGCCATGTGATCGCATCGTTCTTCTAACCTAAACGTAGAAGAGCAACTTGCTACGTAAATAACAAAGCGACTTTTGACCAAAGGGTGCGTTATTGTTCTCGCTTTATTTGCAATCTTGCTTTATTTACAGACGTCATTGTTCGACTTGCGACTTCAATGACAACATTTTACTTATACCACAATTGTTTTATTTTCTTTAGCAATTGAAGATCATAGATTATGGTTCGTCGGCATTAAGTAATCTATTTTTGACGCTTCACTGATCTGCCGGAGGTGAGATCGACTGAGAGGTCAAAGTTGTGATCATTTGTCTCCGTCACGAAGTCTTCTTTCAATCACAGAAGTTTGGCCTTCAGTTGTTTATTTCGAATATCATGGGTTTTTGCCGTATGGCAAGATTCGAAGTAGTAGATTGTGATGTGATTTTGTTACGGTTCCGCTGATTTTGGCTGTTCTTTTTTTTAGTTCTGTTTCTAAATTGTATTACAGTTCTGCTGATTTAAGCTGCTCTTTTTCAGTAGTGTTTCTAAATTATCGTTGCATTTGTTGCACTTTTGAGTGGATTTGTCATAATTTATACCGTTTATGACAAATTCACATAATGATCAAATCGAAAATCGGGGTAAAGATGGCTATGGCAAGTCAGTAAGATATATCCCACCTTAAGGATGAATTTCACAGAGTTTACCCCGTTTTTCTCGAATTCGCTGATCAAATGGAAAAACCGGGTAAAGCAGATGGGATATGTGAGAACTTAGCGTGTTAGCCACTTGTGGACGAATTCGTAGAATTGATCCCATTTTTCTATGATTCATTAAAAAATGGAAAATCAGGTTAAAGATTGGCCATGGCAACTTGGGATCTATTTAATTCGGAAGGTGAACTCTTGATTTTACTCCGTGTTTTGTCAAATTCACTGACAAAAAATTGGAAATTCGGGTAAAGATAGCATGTGGGAACTTTGGATATTCACCTGTAACATGAAGGCTCAGAATTTACCCCGTTTTTCTCGCATTCGCTGATCAAATGGGAAATCGGGGTAAAGATGGCATATGGGAACTTAGCGTGTTAGCCACTTACGGATGAATTTGCAGAATTAATCCCGTTTCTCCAGAATTCATTGAAAAAAAAAGTGGAAAATCGGGTTTAAGACAGGATTGGCACCTTGGGATCTATGTCATCAGGGAGGATAGATTCTTAGATTCAAGTTACCCCGTTTTCCTAGAATTTGTTGAAAAAAACGGAAAATCGGGGTAATATAAAGATATCGTATGGGAACTTCGGGTATTATCCACTTGTAGCATGAATGTTCAGAATTTACCTCGTTTTCCTAAAATTCACTGATCAAATGGAAAGTTGGGGTGACGATGGCATATGGGAACCAAGGGTACTAGCCACTAATGGGCCGAGTTCTCAAAATTCATCCCGTTTTCCTAGAATTCATTAAAAAAAAATGGAAAATTGGGTTAAGGATTGGCTATGGAAACTTGGGATCAAATTAATTCGGAGGATGAACTCTTAGATTTTACCCCGTTTTTTGTCAAATTCACTGAAAAAAGAAAATTGGAAACTCGGGCATGTGGGAACCATGGGTATTACTCACTTGTAACATGAAGGCTCAGGATTTACCCCGTTTTTCTCAAATTCGCTAATCAAATGGGAAATCGGGGTAAAGATGGCATATGGCAACTTGGCGTGTTAGCCACTTGCGGATGAATTCGCAGAATTAATCCCGTTTCTCCAGAATTTACTGAAGAAAAAATGGAAAATCGGGTTGAAGACTGGTTATAGCAACTTGAGATCTATTTCATTTGGAGGATGAATTCGTAGATTTTAACCCGTTTTTCTAGAATTTGTTGAAGATTGGGAGAGAGATATATGGGAACTTCAAGTATTATCCACTTGTAGTATGAATGCTCAGAATTTACCTCGTTTTTCTAAAATTCACTGATTAAATGGTAATTGGAGTGAAGCTGGCGTATGAGAACCTAGGGTATCAGCCACTTGTGGGTCGAATTCTCAAAATTCATCCCGTTTTTCTAGAGTACATTGAAAAACAAAAATTGGAAAATCGGGTTAAAAATTGGATTTAGCACTCTAAGATCTAACCTACTCGAAGGACGAACTCTCAGAATTTATTCCGCTTTTCTAGAATTCACCAAGAACACAAACGTCTTTTAAATGTGTAGTTTTTTCTATCTTTCATTTTAACTAAGACTAGGGAGCAGCACAAAGAAACAATTTTTGTAGTCGTCAGCTTCTCATTTATTTCGGACGCGTTTCTTCCCCAATTAAGGGGATGATTACAATTAAAGAGGAACAGTACATTGTATTGCGCGTTGTTGTGTCTAAGTTTTGAATTTCTATGGAAGTTAGTTAATCAATAATAACTGAGAGCGGGCCTACGTTATAAAAAACTCAAATTACAATTAAGTTATTTGCGTATTGCTTTATTTTGAGGGGCTAACGATTAACGGTAATCGTAGAATTCACCGCTGAAAAAAGAAATGGAAAATCGGGGTAAAGATGGCATATGGAAACTTAGGGTCTTATCCACTTGTAGCGTGAATCCTCAGAGTTTACTCCGTTTTGCTAGAATTTATTGAACGAAAAAGTGGAAAATCGGGTAAATATTGGATATGGCGAGTCAGTGGGATAAAGTCCACTTAGAGGATGAATTTTCAGAATGTGCCCCGTTTTTCTACTTATTGAAAAAATTGGGGGAAAATTGGGGTAAAGTAGATTAGATGTGGCAAATCAGTAGAATATATTCGACTTGGAGGATGAGTTACTAGAATTTACCCCGTTTTTCTATTTTTTCAATTCCTTGAAAAAATTCCCAAATCGGAGTAACGATGGCATAAGGGAACTACGGGTATTTTCTGCTTGAGGCGGGGTAAACCTGAAAAAATGCCATTTTTCAACCATTTCTCATGAATAAATTGTTCTCAAGATATCTTTTCTTGAAGACAAAATTATTGCGTAATGAGAAAATAGCCTTTAAACTTACAAATAGCAATCACACTTAGTTTTTTAAATTATGCAACCATTCTAGTGGCCCAAGTGTCCATATTTTGTCCCGAGTGTCTAAAAGTAATTTAAATGCCTCCTGGTTCATATGTTGCTCCTTCTGCTTCTTGAAGGGTTTCCTACTGACGAGTCCTCAGAAGTTGCTCCCCTTGATGGTCTCTCTTTTCCTTCTACGTAGCCTGTAAATCAGACTTCATCAATCGTTTACTGTCTTTTGCATGTGCTGCCTCTCTGGTTCATACACCACCAAGGATAGATAGCCTCTCCATAATTTTTAGCCTACTACTGTCTTCCATGCTACAGCATGGAAGACAACTTGGTCGTTAATGTCATATTATTTCCCTCACTGGGTCACACTACTGGATGTTGGAAGTGGAGTGGATTCCCCAGAGGAATTGCACTGAAGGGAAAACTGTGACATCAGCCCTGCTCTAGCACTTTTATCCTCCTTAAGAGTTAAGTTGCCTAGAAAGACAAATCAAGTAAAAATTTTAAGATAAATCAGGCAATTTTATCATAAATAGAGTAAAGACCTCAAGTCAGAAATATACATTCTGTGATTTTTCACCCCATAATTTTTTGTTTACAGTGTCTGTACAAAACCTAAAAATCGTTCTTGTACCTGATCCAAGATTTAATAGATAAATCAGTGAAATTCAGCAGGAAAAAACTGGAACCAAGGGTCGATATGGTATGATAAATAAGTCATAATCGAGGACAGAGAACGACATAGACTTAAAAAAATTTCTCACCTATATCATCACACACGAGCGCGTTTGAGACCGCCGTGGATAAATTTTCACGTCTGTTAATCTATATCCCTCGCTTTCCTTGGTATCAGAGCTGTCTGAAAGAAGCTCATCGGCTTATTTCATTTTCTCTCTGGAGGAACCAACAGTTTCTTTAGAGTCAGAGTTGCAAAATTTTTCCAATTATTGGAAAGCTGATTTTCATCCAGGGAAGTGCTCGGAGTTGAGAGAGCGATTTCGTTCTTCAAACTCATCCTCCTGTTTTCGTCTTCCAAAAAAATTTCTTTCTTTTCTTCCAATAGACAGATCTACCTCTCTCTCCAGCCATTTTCGATAACTTTTCCCTTGATTTACTGCTCTATGTACGTTGAATATCACATTCGACTGAATTGCGGACTAAAACTGCCTCTAATTCTATCCCATAATGGTTTAGTCCCAGAAAAACTCTTTAAATAAAGAAAAAAAAGAGGAATTACTGAGTGACAGGGATACAAGGTTTAAAATTTTAAAAGGGATGACTTGAATATAGGTATGTGTCGGAAAAATTATCTTCTCCTCTTCTTTGTTTCTCTCTTTTCGTTTGCTCCTCCTTTTTTCATTGTTCTTCTCTTCCTCTTTCCAGCTTCTCTTCCATAACTATTTCTTGTTCCAGCCAGTCCATGTTAATCACATGCTCTGCAAAACATAAGAAATGTATCACTTAGTAATATCAATATACAACGACATTTTACAAAGCTGTTTAGCCCTGAGCCTCTGTGGTTTAATCCTTCCTTCAAAATCCGTAAACACGACCGTCCAGTGAGGGCCTTTGTCAAAAATATCACCACCAACGTTCATACTAGTGATAGAATTTGCACATGAACAATTAAAGAGAGTACCTCTTTCCGTGCCAATATTCTTTGATATGCCTGACATCTAAGTCACTGGTTATTAATTTTTAAGTAATGTTATAAGTGAGAAAACAGTAGTTTGATTGCTTCTCAGCGATGAAATGCACCAGTGCTTCATTATGCCAGACACCCTCATCTGGAACAGCCTTGTTCACTGGTTTTATTTCATGACGGGCGATAAACCTCAAAGCAATTTCAAGAACTCCCTTAGAACATCCAATTTAAAAGAGACGATTTACTGTTGAGTTGTTAGGTTAGCCAGAATTCTGTTCTATTCTGAGAGTATGAGAAACCTTCCCAGGATGGCAGAGAAGAAATTAGTTTATCTCACCACGTGGTCCTCCATCTTGGGCCATGATAGCCAACCCAGCAAAAATTGACCAACAATTCTATTTTCAAGAGAACGAGAGAATATGGGTGGTTACCAGTTTTCCCGGCACCCAGGTATTCAGGGAAAAACATGAGAGGATATGCAGAGGCTAAAGCCACTGTGAATCAGAGTATTTACTTCGTATATGTGAACGATCCTTCGCAGTAAAGCACTATTTGAGCAATAGTGAAAATCAGACCTGAAAAAAACTTCAGGCCTGTACGGGATTCGAACCACTGACCTCTGCGATACTAGTGCAGCGCTCTACCAATTGAGCTAACAAGCCAACTGGGAGCAGGCCATCAAATTATTTCGACATAAACCCGTAGATGATAAATCAAACAACAACAAACATATGAAACAATATATACAAGTAATGTAAATTTTTCTAGTTTTCAGGGCCGATTTATACGATACGACTTAATCGCATGCGACACGCTTAAGGTTACTTCCCACCTTCACGGGTGTCCTTCGGGAAAAAAGTTTGTTTGCACACAAGTTTCACTAAAATCTTAGCAAACTATATATCAGAAGAAAGCTTCATAAATGTTTACGATAAAAACATACCTCAAGCAACTTTTCTTTTAAGGACGTACCAGGATCCAATAAGGCGTGAAATGACCGAAGGGTCTTCTATTGAATTAAATGGACATGGGATGCAGCAGCACGAGCTAATTGGCTCCACAGTCTTATTCATTATTCACACTAATTACACAACACCTGTGCAAAGCATGTCAATTAAAAATAACAAATATGGACAGTGCAGATTACTTTCAATATTTATAGTGCAAGCAATTTGTTCCTTACCATCATTATTTTGTGTTTGCTTTCCATTTACAGACTCAACTGGCTGTAATTACAAAACAAATTCAAACAATTTTACCGTACTTCTTAAAGTAAGAAATCACAAGACTAAACAACAAGTGTAGAAAACAAGCAGTAAAGGTCTGAAAAATTTAAACCTTGCATGTGTTGTTGTTTTGTGAAATATTGCTTTCTACATGTGCCTTAGCCTAAGAGTGATGGTAAAATGTACAGGTGCCATCTTTGTCTGTCAGTGGATTGAGTCTAATGGGTGAACACAAGAAAAATAATGATATTGATACAAATAAAATGAGGGTTTAGTACAGGTATGCTGCAGTTCAGTTTCATCCTTAGTTTCTGTAGTATCCAATCATATCACATGTATTCACATTAGCATATTGTGTAACCGTGATTATTGAATAAATTAGTTCTGATCTGAGATGGAGTAGTTATTACATTGGCGACGAGACGGGATCGAAAAACAAGTTACATTATCCAGCAAACCAAGCGAAATTAAATAGAAACACCCAAGATCGACTCATAACAAAGAAGCGAGCCGAACCAAGCAGAAAAAGTAAAAAGCTACAACGGGAAAATCGATTGAAAGAACCAAACACGTGCGAATTACGAAATCGATCAATCGGCGAACATGGCTAACAACGAAGGAGCGGCAGCAGCGAATCCAGCGGGAAATATTCACGTCTTCAGGACCTCGAAAACACTTCGAGTTGAGAAATTCAATATACCCGAGGACCGACTTCAAATCGGAAACGCATGGGAAGAATGGCTGGAGGATTTCGAGGAAGAAATATCTTATCTAGGAATTAGCGAAATCAAAGACAAAGTTTCGGCACTAAAGATTTACGGTGGGACAGAGATAAAGAAACTATCCAGAAATCTACCGGAAACCCCAACACAGGACGGCGACAGTGATTATACAAAGCTCAAGAGAAAGTTAAATAATCATTTCCTACCAAAGAGAAATGAGCATCACGCCAGATATATGTTTAGCAAGGAACGTATACAATCTAACGAAAGCATCATAAGCTACGCGGCGAGAATGAGAGAAAAAGCTAAAGAATGTGAATTCGGCCGTCAATTGGATGATCGAATCCCAGAGCAGTTGATCCAAACCATACCAAACGAAGACCTGATAAAGAATGCATAAGGAAAAGATAGAATCTGGATCAGTTCATAGAGGAAGCGGGACAACGTGATGACATCAGCCAGCAAGTAAAGGACATGAAGAACGAGCACAACGTCGCGAGAATTCATGGAAGACCGGAATCGAGACCCAAACAACATCAAGGAAGGAGACATAAAACAAAATCAAATGAAAGGAGAGATGAGAAACCCTGTCACTACTGTGGAAAAAGCGGAGATCACAAACCAGGTCAAAACTTCCCTGCATATGGAAAGCACTGTTTGAAATGTGGAAAGTGCAACCACCTCGCGAAATGCTGCAAAAGCAATCCAAGCAAATAGACGACTGAAAGCAACAAAGGCACAAAACCACAGCAGAAACAAAGACAACAGCAACGCGTGAAAAAGACCACAGACTCAAGCGAGGATTCAGATGACGGCTTTCTACAACAAACAGCACGTCACCCTAACTATGAAGCAAAGAAAGTACGATCGAGTAATAAAACCAATACAGTCAGATTGAGAATCGCTGATTTAGATGCAGATTTGGACCCGGACAGCGGAGCCAGCATCAACATAATGGATGAGTATCAATTCAGAGCACTCAAACACAGATCTCAAGAAATACAGGGATTATCACCTTCTAATGCCAAACTGAAAACCTTGCAAAGCAGTTTGGAGGTCAAGGGTGAATTCACAGCACTGATCAGAAACAAGACCCGAGGAATCACAGCAAAATTCCTATTCATCAAAGGGAAGATGGGCTCACCACCACTTATATAAAAAAAGACGCACTTACCGAGCTAGGAATGCTAAAGATTGATCCGGAAGGAACACTTAAAGAGCGAAACAACTTAAGGATTAAGAAAGTCCAAACATCAAGCCAAATTGAAGCATTACTGGCAGAGTATAGTGACGCATTTCATGGAATTGGCTGCTTCAAGGAAAAAGAAACTGGAGAAAAGATGCAAGTCAAACTCGAAATGGAACCCCAAGCAAAACCAGTGGCACAGAAACCACGAAATGTACCCTACCACTTGCAGCAACCATTGAAACAATGGATTGACGAAGGTGTAGAGAAGGAAATCTTCGAAAAAGTACCACCAGGCGAAGCGATCACGTGGTGCTCACCTCTCGTGGTCCAGCCAAAACCAAAATTCGCCGAGACGAACAAGAATGAGCTAGAATCACACATGATAAGAGCCAGCATAGATATGAGAATCCCAAATGAATCCATGAAGATGCGTGCAGGCACCAAAGATTTAGGATTTCATCTACCACCTATACGACTGCAAAGTATTCTCCAAACTCGCCCTCAAGCAAGGATACCATCAGTTAGCACTGGACCCTGAAACCAGAAAGGTGGCAACATTCAGCACGCCATGGGGCAACTATCGACCACTTAGACTGATCTTTGGCGCCAAGTCGTCGCAGGATGTATTCGATGAGGTAATGTTTAAAGTATTTGGAGACATTCCTCACTGCCTAAATCAAAGGGACGACGTGCTTCTAGGCGGAAGAAATGCAGAGGAACACCAACAAGTATTGCGAACTGTGTTGCAAAGAGCCAGACATCATGGAGTAACATTCAATGAAGACAAATGTGAATTTGAGAAAGAGGAGATTGAGTTCTTTGGACACATCTTCACTAAAGATGGACTGAAACCATCACCAGAGAAAGTGAAAGCGATTAAAGAATGCAAAGCACCTCAGAGCAAGGAGGAAGTTCGGAGCTTCTTGGGAATGGCGGGCTATCTAGACAACTTCATCCCAAACTACGCAAGCATTGCTGCACCATTACATCGTCTAACAAGAAAAGAAACCAAGTTCCATTGGGGAAAGGAAGAACATGAAGCATTTCAGAAAATACGGGAGAACTTATCGGATGAGAAGACTATGGCTTACTTCGACCTAGGCAAGCAAATCATATTGAGAACAGAAGCCAGTTACAACGAAGGACTGTCTGCAGCACTACTACAGAAGACCGAGAACGGCATGCAACCAGTCCACTAAATAAGTCGTACAATGACTGAGACAGAGAAGAAGCACAGCCAGACGGAGAAAGACGCACTAGCGATCAAGTGGGCAAAAGATCGACTGAGAGTATACCTACTTGGAGCACCGAGATTCACCATCGTAACAGCGCACAAGCCTTTACTCCCACTCTTCAATAGAGTCAAGATGTCAATGCCTCCCCGAATAGAGAAATGGGTTATGCAAATGCAAGAGGTAGATTATGAACTAATCTACGAACCTGGAAAAGATGAAGCTGATCCATTAGACTACCTCTCGAGGCATCCGTTACCCGAAACAGAGGACGATGGAACAGAAAAAAGTCCTCAAGTGGACAGTAGAAGCTGAACGCTCAGTAGTCTTAGAGAGAATAAGAGAAGAAACGCTGAAAGACAACACCATGCAGAAACTAGCCCAACGAATAGCAAAAGGAGACTGGGACAAACACAAAAAAGACAAAGATGTCGAACCATATACACACATCAAGCAAGAACTCTCTACAGGAGAAGAACTCATCTTCAGACAAGAAAGGATCGTGTTACCAGAGAAACTGCAAAGAAAAGTTGTCAAGATTGGACACAGCTTAGGGCACCTTGGAAAGACAAAGACGAAGAAATTTTTCGCGAAAAGTATTGGTTCCCTTACATGAACAGCATGATAGACAACGCCATTAACCAATAATACGAATGTCAAGTTGCTACAAGAGAGAAACAAACGGAACCAATCAAGACTACCACCATCCCAGACAGACCATGGGACATTGTACCGGTGGACTTTGGAGGTCCATACCCTGATAGAGACTACAACTTAGTAATCATCGACAAGAGAACCCGGTACCCAGTTGCAGAGCGAGTACCATCAACATAAATTCCAAGTCAACAAAGAAAGGCTAAAACATGTGTTTGCTACTTATGGAACCCCATGAAGAGTAGAGACAGACAACGGACCACCGTTCAATTCCAAACAGTTCAAAGACTTTGCCAGAGAAGAAAGATTTGAGCATCACAAAGTGACACCTCTCCACCCAAGAGCTAGCGGGGAAGTGGAAAGATTCGTGGAGACGATAAACAAAACTAAACGAATAGCTCATCTGCAGGGTAAAGATAAATTGGAAAGCCAAAATGCAATTCATAACATGCTGACTGCATACAGACTGACACCCCACCCAGCGACAGGAATCTCACCACACGAAGAGATGAGAGGAACATTCATCAGGACCAAATTAGATTACTCAACACCCAACCAGCAATCATCCGAAGAAGATGAACAGATGAATGTTAATGATGCAAAGTACAAGGAAAGAATGAAAACAAAGCGAGAGAACAGTCGAACAGAAGAGAAGAGATTGTTGATCGGAGATTATGCATTGGCCAAGCAAGAAAGAAAGAACAAATGGAGCACACCATACGAACCAATATTCTACATTGTGTGTGACATTGAAGGATCGAAGATCACAGCTAGAAGAACCACAGATGGACGCACCGTATCGCGTGATGCTAGCCACTTCAAACTTGTTAACTCCGTTATCAACACGGTAGATAAAGTGAAGGACAACGCGGTACAACACGGTACAACACCACCGGACACTAAGCAACAGGGCCATAAAGAGGAAAGTCTGAGTGGCATAAAGAAACCTTAGACCCAAGAAGAACCCAACAGCAAGCAAGAACAAACGACACAGTACGACAAACCAACAGAGACACCACAAATCAAGCAGGAAAATGAGAAAGAACCACGGCGAGAAATACCAACTTGACCACAGAGGGAACGACGACTGCCTAAACGATTTGATGACTTCCAATTGTACACCTAAGAAAAGCAGCTGGAGTCATGAACTTAGTTATTGTTGAGTCACGTTATGTTTGTGATAGCATTGAGTGATTACAAGAGATGATTGTTAATGATTACACGTTGGCATATGATTTCCACAAAGGGACTGTGGATCTTTGAAACAATAGGAGAGATGTAGTATCCAATCATATCACATGTATTCACATTGGCATATTGTGTAACCGTGATTATTGAATAAATTAGTTCTGATCTGAGATGGAGTAGTAATTACAGTTTAATTATTTTACTTTTAATGGAGGCCAAATCGATGGTGACACATCATCTCATCATAAATTACACTCTGGGAGCTAAATTTTATCTTTCTTTACACAAAATGCATTTTCATTCATATCATTAACAAAACCAAAGGAAAATTATACTTACACCAAGGACAAAAATTAATCGCAACATACACCTTTTTATAACTAGTGCATAATTTTCCAAAGAAATGTTTACAATGGAGCTTACCACTTAATGGGCACTTTTGTTTACTTTGGTGCTTGCTCTCATCTATGCCTGTATGAATGAAATTAGGTAAGGGTGAAAAGATTAGTATTTTGTTTGCAAAGACAGTTGCAGAGAGTGTCTTCACTAATATATGGATCACCAAACGCTCATAATTAAAGCCCACAAGACCAAGTTCTTGCTCTTGTAGGAGCAATAATTGCCAGTAATAGGCAATAATTGCTAATTATTTGCAATAGTCTGTACTGAATTAAGTATTCATTTGTGCATGAATTAGTATCTATTTCATTTCAATATCTGAAACACATAGTTGAAAAAGTATGTAAAGTGTGGTTACCGTAACATATAACATGCATATCATTATCATATTCCTTATGATTTAGTTAAAAGGGCTTTATTCTAAATAGATCAAAAGAAAGAAAGTGGCATATGTCACCCACTGATTTAAATGGAAAAGCACATATTATTAAGTAAATAGCAATTTTGCTGCAAATCTGTCCCCTTCTGGGCGAGCAAAGAGAATGATTTAATGCATTGAACCCCAACTGTTTCTTGCTGAAGGGCATGGGAGAGAGCACCCTATCCTTTATAAAAGATACCGGATCTTCATCATACGTGTCAGCAGTTTGTGGGTTAACTTTCCAGGATATGTGATGTTTGACATCAGCCATACCAGAGGTTGAATTTTTGCGTCGTGCCATACAATTACAATGAATGCATGTCTTCCATTGTATCCATAATATTAGGAAAATTAAACGAGATCTACCTGTAAGTTGAAGTTTGATTGAAATTCTTTCACATGACAATGGAGGCAGGAGATCACATGGGATAGCACAGCACATGCGTCAAGTCATTGACTGTGGTTGTGTCATACAATGATCCAGCAACAGGGATGCATGATACATAACAATCCATAGTAACAGGAGTTATGTGGATTCCTATAGTGGGATGGGACAGCCAGACAAGAGCTCTAAGGGTGGGCATGTGATCTCCTGCCTCCATTGTCATAATAATAATAATAATAATAATAATAAAGTATTTATAGCGCTAGTTTCCTCAAAGTTCAAAAGCGCTTAACAAGAGTGACACAATTGTAAAATTAGAAAAACGCTTTTTTAAAAAGAAAAGTTTCAAGTTTGTTTTTACAAACGGACACTGAGGAGCTGTTCATGATATCGGACGGCAAAGTGTTCCAGAGTGTGGGGGCAGCTACAGAAAAAGATCTTGCACCGTATGTCTTCAAATTAAAATGAGGAATCACAAGGAGAGTTTTAGATGATGAACGCAGTTGACGAGCTGGAATGTAAGATGTGAGTAGATCACGAATGTACGATGGTGCAAGATTGTTAAGAGCTTTGTACGTAATGAGTAGAATTTGAAACACAATGCGACAATGTATCGGAAGTCAGTGAAGATTTATTAGAATAGGCGTAATGTGTTCATGTTTTCTTGAAAAAGAGATGAGACGAGCAGCGGCGTTCTGGACGTGCTGTAACTTTTTTACTTGGTAGTTCGGTAGTTCATAGAGTAATGAATTACAATAATCCAGTTTTGAAGAAACAATGCATGAACAAGTATTTCAGATGACAAGTACTTTCTTATATAGCTGATATACGGAGATGGTAAAAAGATGATTTGCAGATATTTGCAACATGATCGTTGAAAAGAAAATGATTGTCAAAGGTAACACCAATATTTCCAGCTTTCTCATGTCATAGAATTTCAATCAAACTTCAACTTGCAGGTAAGTCTCATTTAATTTTCCCTTTCTATCACATGACTGGAGGCATGGAGATCCCATGAGACTTTAAAGCAATGACACATCCACATTGATCAATCACACAAATCAATCACTCAGCTATTGTACTGGTGAATGTCTTTCTGATTCAAACAGAAAGGTACTAACTTGTATTAACAACAACAACCATGTGTGAATATAATCATCCAAATTAATCAATTTGGGTAAAATATGCACTATGAACACCAATGCCATGGAACATGAACTAATAAAAATGTATATGTGGATCTGTCTTGGAGAGTCAAATTTAAAATAGCAAACAGTAATCTTCATTCTTGTGTAAACACCGCATCAGCTAGCATGGATTTACTTTCTAGGAGAGGCTTGTGGTAAAAGTTGTGGAATGTTTCAGCTGAAGCCGTGCCAATTGTGCTCAGGATAACATCAACCGGAACATCTTTCTCCTTAGCCTTTGATCCAACCGCTGCTCTTGTGCTATGTGTTGTGAAGAGCTGGGTATCAAATCCAGAATTCTTAATTAAGTATTTCTTTTGTCCATCTAGATATAGTATCTCTGGATACTGCCTTAAATGGTTTAACATAAATTTAAAAAAGCCTTTTCTCTCCATTCCGTAAGGGTTCTGTTCTTTTCATGTACGCTTTCAATGCATTTAATGGACATAGAGCCATGTTCGGTGTAAATGCAGTCACTCTCATTGGTTTTGATTTGTTATTGGGCTTACTAGTCCTAGTATGTTCCTCAAGATTAAAGATTTAAGCATCTTGATTCAATTGTAATCCTGATAGTGTTAGTAGGTAAATATATCTTGTCCCCTTTTTCCTGTTGAAAGAAGCAGCAGGATGACAGTTCTTTGTGTCAGTTCCTTTACTGACAGTTTATCTAGTGGGTTTAAGTTTTGTAGGTAGTCAAGAACTTTGGAAGCATCCCAGATAACGATGTATTTAGGTTGTGGTTTCCGATTTTCATATATTCCTTCATAAATCTCCTTGTTGTTGGACGCGCGCCAAAGTTGTCGCAGTTGTCAATGTTAAGAATTGCTGATGGTACTGATCTGGCAGTATTGATGCTAGAATAACCGAGTCCCTTATTGTATAAGGTCATAAGAAATTCCATAGCTTCATTCAATTTTGGAGAACAGTGATCAACTTTCCTTTTATTACAAAATTCCAACCATTGATTGAGGTATGTTGAGTACTATTTCTCAGTCCCTTCTCACCATGATGACATGAGGATTTCTGTAACTTCTTCTGAAAATTGGAACTCTCGGAAGGATTCCCTGATAGCGGACAGACCATTAGGTGGAGTTTCTTGTGCAGTGGGTGTAATGTCTCGAAATTGTGTTGGAGGAGAGTCCCTGATGGTTTGTATATCCCAGGTTGGTTAAAGAGCAGTTGAAGTACTTAAGGGAACCATGTCTGTGTTGGGCATACAGACACTATCAGGAAACCATTGGCTTCGTCCTTCAAGATCTTTTGTAAACAATGGGGTACAAGGCTAAAAGGAGGGAATGCATTAAAATTAAATTTACTCCAATGAATGGGAAGGCATCAACAAATGCACTGCCTGAGTCTGGTTTCCATGAGCAGTATGTGTCTAATTGATTTGTTAGTCTAGATGCAAATACATCCATATTGATTTGTGGGTATTCTCTCTGTATTTCTCTGAATATGCTTTTATTCAGCATCCACTCATGCTTATCTGAAAAATTTCGTGATTCGCTATCTGCATAAGTAATTTTCCAGCTATATAAACGGCTGGGATCCAGATATAATGCTGAATGCACCATTCCCAGATATCATTTGCTAGTTTATTTAGTTAGGGGCATTTTGAGCCTCCCATATTGTTTATATAGGAGACAGCTGCGGTATTATCTATCTGGATTTGTATGTGTATATTGCAGCAGTCACTACAAAGTGGTTAAGAGCAAAAAACGCTGCTTTCAATTCCAGAATATTTATGTGGCCTGTGGCCTCATGCTGGGTCCACCTCCCACCTATTCTCTGATCATCGTATGCTGCTCCCCACCCTTAGGTAAACATGTGTATTGATATAACTTACCATCAAACAGAAACTTAATTAAGGTACTTTTGGTGAGTTTCTGCAATGGGAACCGTATAATAGGCATCCTTAAGATCAATGGAAGCCATGTAACATCCAGGTTTCATCATTTTAAGTGCAGATTCTAGTGCATGTATCCATTTTGAAATGGTGGTACTCAATAAATTCATTTAATGTTTGAGATTTAAAATTGTCCTATATGTTCCATCTGGCTTAGGCCGAAGAAAAATTGGGGAAATAACTTCTCATTTCTGGTGGTCATAGTACTGAATGACACCCTTACTCATAAGGTTGTTTATTTCATCAGATACAATAGCATGCTCTGCTTTATTAAAGACGCTTGGTCTAACAGACACTTTGATTGGCTCAAGGTCTGACACATTCTATTTCTACTCCTTTAACACATTGAATTATAGAGGGATCATTTGTGATTTCATACCAGCTATTTAAAGCTGAAGATAGTTGGCCTGCTCTAAAAGCAGTTTGATTTTCAATAATAGCTTTGACTCCCAAAGAGGGTGTTATG